AGAGAGAGAGAGAGAGAGAGAGAGAGAGAGAGAGAGAGAGAGAGAGAGAGAGAGAGAGTAGAAGAGAGCGAGAAATCCTAGATTCCGTGATTATTTTCTCGAAAATGTGAAAACATTACGTCCCGAAAAGAAAAACGCACACACCTTGGGGTTATTTGTCATGCGAATCACTCATAGCAAATCACACGAATCTATACACACAAAAAAAGATCTAGGTATGCACGAGCTTCATGTGAATCTTTATGAAGATTCGCAAATTTTTCATGAATTTGAAAAAACAAAACTTTCTAATTGACATTTCAGTAGCTCGTGGGGGACTCGTGTGGACTCGTAGATTTGCTATTACAAATGCCATGCAGCATACATGTGTGAATACAAATACAGGTTTCTATGAGTTTGTACAAGTCAGGATTTTTTTTAAAGAAATTTGGCGAATTTCACTAAATTTCGACGACAAATAAGCCCCTCGACACACACACAAACATGAACACATTCAATGTGAATCGAATGGAGTCGATTAGGATGTGTCGTGCCGGGTCAAAGTTGGTGAAGATGACCCAGTACAAGCATGTGGTTTTACGTGTAACTTCCGATTGAAATCATGTTGAGCCAGAAGCATACACTACAGTCACATGTTTTTTTTCTTCATTTTTTATTTTAGGCATGGCATGGCCCAGGGGGGTCATAAAATAAATTCGCTTCATTTTTCGTTTGTATGTGTGATCCATTCCATCCACCGTTTTCAATTAATAGTTTTCCGACACGTTTTTCTTTTAAACAAATAATTTATATGTTCAATAGCAAGCGATAGAGAGAGAGAGAGAGAGAGAGAGAGAGAGAGAGAGAGAGAGTGAGAGAGAGAGAGAGAGAAAGAGAGAGATAATCCGCATTAAACAAATAATACTATAAAATATTCGCTTGGTTTCGCATCGCAAATTCGATGAGTATATGTTTGTTTGCGTGTGTGCATAGTTTTCGCGAGAATATAGGAAATTGTGCCAAACAAGAATGAGACATGGCCCAGCATCGAGAATGGTGTGTTTGTTCTATTTCGTTTGCCAAACACATATTCGAGAGATGATGTCAATAAAAAAAAGCTCTAGAAATTTCTGGTATCGGCCGCAATGCTCGGGAAATTAATGCAGTTCTGCATGAGGGCTTCTCACTTTAGTTCTATATACTGCTGTGAAATAGTGGTGTAGATGAAAAAACGAGATCGAGAGCGAGGAAAAAAAGTAAGCACGAGAGAGTAAGAGATAGATAGATAAAGAGAGAGAGAGAGAGAGAGAGAGAGAGAGAGAGAGAGAGAGAGAGA